TCTGCAGAAACCTCTATGTACAGAGCATAGCCCATAAAAGATGAAAGTGCTTTAGATTATGCTCAGCAGTGTGTAGTTGGGTGGTCAAACAATCTAGTATTATGAATGAAGTGTGTTATATTTGGTGCTAAAGTTTGCATTTTGTAAGTGTTTTTGTAGTTTTGAGTGCAGTTCTTTCATTTAGCAGGAGAAATGAAGGTGGTTTTTGCACTTTCGTGTGTGGTTTGTGAATTGTGTGTTTTAGTGTTCTGAGAACTGGGCAATGTTAAAAAAATGTGTGTTAGAATCGAGAAAAACTGTAACATATGAAACAGGAAATACTGGGTCCTGTCGGCCGGTGCTGACCAATCACGGAAGCGTTAATTCTTGACTGGCAGCAAAAACAACCAATTACAGCAGAGCTTCTCGGCTGGCTCTGTCCAATCACAAACAAGGAAGTGTTCTCCCTAAAGGAATACCCTTTCCGGTCCAATTGTGAAATGCGTGTTGTGGGTTTGTGAAATGCTGCGGGCGTTTTGTAAATGTGTTGTGTTTTGTGAAATTGTTGTGTTTTGTGAAATGCTGTGGTGTTTTGTGAAATGCTGTGGTGTTTTTCTGAAATGCTGTTGTGTTTGTGAAATGCTGTGGGTTTGTGAAATGCTGTGGCGTTTTGTGAAAATGCTTTTGTGTTTTCTGAAATGCTGTTGGTGTCTTACACTTCAGGCCACCGGACGTTAATGTCAGGATGCACAACCATACACTATGTATCACCTTGTATTCTACTCTCTAGATAGTTGTCGATTAATTCTTGTTATATTTAAGCAATAGCTCACGACAGCGTGGTATAGTGCTCATTATTATCACAGCTAAGGGGCGTGGTTCGGCCCGACGCGAAGCGAGAGGGTCGGACAACCCCCTTGCTGTGATATAATGAGCCATATTCACGGCCTGAAGTGAGCTATTGCTTTATAAAACGTTACCAAGCTGGTGGCAATATGAAGAAAATACACACTCTTATTTAAATAGTTTTTATTAATTAAATAATGATGTTCAAAATAAAATAGTCCCTTCGTTGGCCTTCTGCACGAAACTAGTGCGGAAGGTGGTTGCTACTGCGCAACCAACACTAACAGCTGAGCGAACATATTTAGAGGTGATCCATATATTTGGCTATTATATTTACATTCATTTTTCTATGTTGCGTTTAATTGTGCAGCCACTGAAAACTGTCCAGCCATCAGTAGCATGGCTTACGTTGTTTACTTGTATAGGTTGAGGCTCTAATCTAGGCTGTTGACTTGGGCGTGCAGAATTATTGCTCCACTTTTTCCGGTCCCCGAGATTGGGTTCCAGCATGCTCTGGAGGAGCTTTTCACACCTGTGCCACTAACGGTGTCATAATTTCTTCTGCTTTGGTTTCAAGACCCGCATCAGAACACTTTGGAATGGT